ATCTTATCATGTATATTTAATGTAATAGAGCCTGTTTCTCTACTTTTTCAGCTCCTTCCATCCACTCCTCAACCCACCATAATCTGGCCTCTGGCCCCACCACTCCACTAAAACTGCTTTTTGAAGAAGTTTCCAAATGCTGAATTCAACAGTTCTTTTATCAGTTTATATGTCACTGGATTTCCCTGCTAATTTGACATTTGTGATCATCCCTCCTTCTTGATATTCTAGTCCGTGGGGTTCCCTGACATTGCACTTCCCCAGAGTTTCCTTGTTTGTTCTGCTTTCCATCTCTTTGACTATTACTCCTCATCCCCACTCCACCCCTCTCCTGCTTAGGCCTTTCGCCCTTAACTCCTATTAAAGATGAATATTTCCCCCAAAGTTCTGTCCCCAGCCTGCTACTCTTATTTTAAAATTCACCCCTTGTCATCCCATCCATTCCCATGGAATCAATTACCACCTCCAAGGGGCTGACTCTCAAGTTCATTTCTCCATCCTGGCCTCTTCCTTGAACCTCAGACTCCTAAATCCCTTTCCAGCTGATCAACCAGACCTGGCTACATCACAGGGACCACACATTCAACATGCCTAAAACCAAACTCCTAATTTTACACAGATTCTCCCCTCCTAGAGAGAAAAGCCAGTTTCTCCTCTTCCTATAAATTCTCTCTCACACAAGCTAGAAATACATGAGATTTCTTTAACACCTGCCTCTCCCCGCCTCGATCCCACATCTCATCCATTACTGAGACCGCCCAACTCTACCTCCTAAAATATTTTTTCTGGTTGTTTTTCCCAAATAGTATTCTATAGTTAATAGGTATTCCATAAAAATGAATTCCATGGAAAAATAAGTCTTGGTAAATCCTAGAAAACCACGAAAAAAGTCTTTCCTCAAGAGAATGAGAAGACAAGCCGCAGACTGGAAAAAAATATTTGCAAAAGACACATCAGATAAAGGACTATTATCCAAAATATACAAAGAACTCTTGAAACTCAACAGTAAGAAAACAAACAATCTGATTTAAAAAATGGGCAAAGACCTGAACAGGCTCCTCCCCAAAGAAGGTACACAGAGGGCACGGAACCACATGAGAAGGTGTTCAACATCATGTAATTAGGGAATTGCAAATTAAAACAATAAGATACCACAACACACCTATTAGAATGGCCAAAATCCAAAACACTGAAAACACGAAATGCTAGTGAGGATGTGGAGCAACAGGGACACTCATTCATTGCTGGTGGGAATGCAAAATGGCACAGCCACTTTGGAAGACAGTTTGGCAGGTTCTTACAAAACTAAATACACTCTTATCATATGATCCAGCAACCACATTCCTTGGTATTTACCCAAATGAATTGGAAACTTATGTCCATACAAAAATCTGCACACGGATGTTTACAGCAACTTTATTTATAATTGCCAAAACTTGGAAGCAGGCAACATGTCCTTCAGTAAGTGAATGATGGAACTGTGGCACATCCAGACAACGGAATAGTATTTGGTGCTAAAAAACAAATGAGCTCCCAAACCGTGAAAAGACATGAATGAATATTAAACGCATACTGATAAGTGAAAGAAGCCAATCTGAAAAGGCTACATACTGTATGATCCCAACTATACAACATTCTGAAAAAGGCAAAACTGTGGACACAGTAAAAAAAAAATAAGTCGTTGGCAGGGGCTAGAGGAGAGGGAAGGATGAAAAGGCAGAGCACAGGGGGTTTTTTAAGGGAGTGAAACTATTCTGTATGGTGGCTACATGTCATTATACATTTGTCAAAATCCCAGAGAACATACACCACCAAGAGTGAACCCTAGTGTAAATTATGGATTTGGGGTAATGATGTGTCAGTGCAGGTTCATCAGCTGTAACAAACGTGGCACTGTGGTGCAGAATGTCAACAGTAGTGGAGGTTGTGTGTGGAGGGGGAGGGATGATGGGGGAATACGGGAACTCTCTGTACTTTCCCCTCCATTTTGCCCTGAACCTAAAACTACTCTAAAAAATAGTCTATTAATCAAAAAAAACAAAAAAGCCTTTACCATAGAACTTTTCAGAGCCCTTACTATGTGAATATTATATTCTAGATGTACAAGAGGTGACACAATGTGCAGTCTTTCCAAACTTATTTTAGCATTTTTGTGTTCCATACAAAATGTTCCAAACTTATTTTAGCATCTCCCGAGCCTCATAAGCAGTTCATGAATTGCTGCTCTCAGCCACTCCATTCTCCTCTGCCCCTCCTATCATGGCCCTTGCTCAGCTCTTGCTGCCTCTCTGGTATCCTAATTCTGGTCTTGCTCCCTCATACACGTTGTTCTCAGCAATGCAAGAGTGAGCTGCCTAAAACTCAAATCTGACCACGTCACGCCACTGTTTACAAAGATTGAGGCTAAACTCCTTCCTAGGGTAGAGGAAGCCCCCATGATCTGGCCTGACCCCGCCTCAGCCTCACCTCTCACCACACCCTGACTTATATCATCCCTTAGAAACACTGAACTGCGTGTGCTTCCCCAAACATTCTGTGCTCTTGCAGGTCTCTCTCTCTCAGTTCACATGGTACTGTCTGGAATACTCTTCTCCCCACCCCCACCCCACCTACTGGTTAACTCCTACCTCTCCTCCAAGACTCAGTTCAAGTGCCACTGTCCTTAGGAAGGCTCGCTGCCAGGGTCAGGTGCCCCCAGCTCCCATAATACCCTGCATAAGATTCTAAGTCTGTTGCCCCACAAGACTGTGAGCTTCTCAGGAGCAGGGAGGATGTCAGATTCATCTTTTCTTATCTGTTCTTCCCAAATTCTAAAAGCTGATGGGCCCCAAGGCCCAGTCCTCTTCTCTTTCTCCTTAGGTGACTTCATCCAGTCTCACATACCATCCATACCCTGATGACTCCCAGATCGACACCTCCAGTCAAACAATTTCCAGGGCAGACACTTACACTTGCTCTCCTCTTTTTCCATTCTCCACACACGGGCTGCTTATTCAGGTCTCATTTCAAATGTAACTTTCTGACTAATCCATCTAAACGGTCCCATACCCACTCTCTCCCCTTAACCTACCTTAACCTGTATTATTACTATCTGAAATTAAATGACTGATTTACTTGTTTATTGCCCGTCTCTTCTACCACACTATCCCGTGAGATTGGGGAGTTTTGATTCATTGCTTTATTCCAGAGCCTAAGACAGTGTTTGGCACATTGTACACACATTACATAATTGTTGAATGAATTAATGCCTACCATAGGTCTGGCATACAATACTTGCTAACATTTGAGTATTAAGTGCCCAATATTATGCTAAATGCAACACAGGAATTGTTTCATTTTTACCTTAAGTACCAGCATTACCCCAATTTTACACTGACACCTGGGGGTGTGGGAGCTTGCCCAGGTCACAAAGTAAGAAAGGATATGAATACTGGCAGCCTGATCCAGAGCTCACTTTCTTAGGCACTGTGCGATCCTCTCACTTACGTCTCAAGTATTTAAAGGAGAACTCAAAGGAAGGCAGGAAGGGGGCTGTCTCCGCTTCTCCATCTATTGGGGGGGCGTGCTTCAAGTTTCCATCTTCTGAGACTCTAGCACGTGCAGATCTCCACGGTCCATCAGCTCACAACTCTAGACACCCCTGGAGAAAGGCCCCCTTTTGGACTGCCGGAGCGTGGGCCTGGCCCTTGGGTAGGCCCAGGATGGAATTTTTTTAAATACAGAAAGGGAGGGAACTGCCCCTGGAAAGCAGAACAACTGGTGTAAATCACCCTCCTCCAAGAGTGACACACAGTAAATCAAGCAAACAGTCCTTCCCTGCAATGTTTATTCAGGAATTGACACACACACGGGAGAAAGGCAACCAGGAACTGTGGTTCCCACAGGGGAAATCTTTTAAGCAAAGTTGTCTTGTTTTAATTTTCCAGTGGGGTGAACAATGACTGAGAGGAAAGGTGGCCAGGCGCGCTCCCTCACACACCTGGAACAGGTGGGGAAGCAGAGCAGCCGGGACACACAGGCATGAAAGAGTGATCGGCAGCCTGGGAGAGGGGAAACGAGAGAACCATCGATGAGACTGCAATTTTTTTGACTATAAGAAGAACTGACAACAGTTTTTAGGCTGTTGATAAATTAACTCCTCTCTGTTGCAAACCTAAAACTAAGAAACAAAAACAAAAACACCCAAAGCAGATGGGGAGAGAGAGAGGGCGGAATCCACACATATATGCACAAGCAGGACACTCGTTAAGGTCTGCATTCCCACTGGAGGGGCTGGTCCTCCAGCCTCGGGGCCAGATCCTACTGGAGGCAGGACAGAGGTGGGGAAAGGGCGTGTGGGACCTTCATAAAGTCTTTGGTGCTAACAAGGCTGACCGAAGCAGCAAGTCCTGAAGCCTCAGGATCCAGAAAACAATTCGGGGCAAAGCAGAGTAGTATTTTTGCTCATTCTCATAGGAGGAGGTTGCCTCACCCCAGGGGTAGGGCCAACCTGATCTGATATCCATGGAGAATTTAATTTGATTTCAGAACTTTCTTCATTCCCATAAATCATGCGAGCATGATGCCTCCCTCTTCAACCAATAATTTAAATATGTAGAAATAGCTTATAGAAGTACCTCCAAACCCTCCCCTCTTTGCCTAAAACAAAACACCTACAGACCTTTCTGAGAGTCTGACAGGAGGTTTAACCTTGTGGGAAAGGTACTCAAAGGTGTGCACATTTCTCCCGCAGTTTAAGTGCCTTCTGCCAACAATTTCTAAGGTGCTGGTGCCAGGAGAAGACTGGGGCTGAGGCTGGGGAGGAGGTCAGGACGGCTGGGGGACATGTACAACATAAAGCAACAGAGAGGTGTGCGTGTTCGGCAAGTGGCTGGGCTGGGCGGAGTGCCGAACCCCAAGTGACGGATTGAGCAATTTCTAAACCAAACAGAGATTGGTAGGAAAAGGGGATGGGGCTGGGGGAGTAGGGTAAAGAGGAAAACCGGGGAGAGAGGGAGCTGAGGAGTGGCAGCCATACGGGTGTCCTGTTTTTATTTCCACATCTGAGGGCTGAGAGTCTGGTTTGCTGCCTGTCCGTTCCCGCCATTCATCGACTGTCCATAGCTCAGCATGCCATTGGCTCCACAGAAGTTCATCCCGGCCATCTGCTGGGTCATCTGAAAGGGAGAGAGGAGACTTTGAGGCCAGGCTGTGGGCATGCAGCCAGTTCGTGCAAAAGGCAGGGTAGGAGTCCTTCCGGCTGTGGGGAGAGGAGAATCAGACAAAGGGAAACCACTGTGGTATATGACGGCGCTGAACCCGGTTAGATCACTTCAAGGACACCAGAGCACAGAAAGGAAGGACTTTCCAGAAGGAAGATGTAGACAGAGACCAATGCTCTGGGAGGGAAGGAAGGAATCCTGGACTAGTCAACATAAAAGCAGCAGGAGAAGTTATTATCTTTTTCCTTGCCAGTCTCTCATCCTAAATAGCAGGGCCTATCGCTAACTTGCTGTAGCCAACCCTGAGTATAAAGAGAAGCCCCCAGGCCAGCGCTCCCATCATCTCCCGCAGAGAGTTATTACTGTCAGCCTGAGTGAAAGTGCTTATGCACGCTCAAGCAGGACAAAAAGCAAGAGAAAGAAACTGAGCTGCTCAGAGCGAACAAAGGCAGGCAAAAAAAAAGACCAATGGGGCTTCAGTGTATAAGAAGGGAAGCTCCTGGGAGAAAAGTTAGTGGAACAAGGCCTGGGTGGGGGCTGGGGCCTCTTTATGAATTAGATTGAAAGACTGGCCTCTGGCAGTGAACAGAAGAAACAATTTATCACAGAAAAAGGCCTTAAATTTTCCCAAGCCTGGTATACTTTCCGTATAAGTTCTTTTTCTTTAGGAGAAGGTCTATTTTATTTCTACCAACTTTTAAAGAAAATTTCAAGCTTACAGAAAAGTTGAAAAAGTAGTACAATGAAACTTATATAACCCTTCCTTAAATTCACCAATTGTTAACATTTTGCCATATTTTATAAACTTTAAAAAAATTTTTGATGAGCATTGAAAATTACAGATCTTGTGACATTTCACCCCTTAATCAGGAGGCATCTCTTAAGAAAGAACAGTTTCCTAGAACCACAATACAATTAACATGTTCAAGAAATTTAACATTAATACAATATCCTAAAATACATGTCATTTTCATATCTCCTTAGTCTCCTTTAATCTGGTACAGTTCCACCACCACTATCTTCTTTTTTTCCTGACATTGTTTTAAGAATCCAGGCCAGTTATTTTGCAGAAAATCCTTCAGTTTGGATTTATCTCATGTTTTCTCATGATTGGATCCAAGTTAAATATTTTTGGCAAGAATTCTATGTAAGAGATATTGTGTCCTTCTCAGTACAAGATACCAGGAAGCACATGATATTGATTTGTCCCATTGTTGGGAATTTTATGTTTATCACTTGGCTAAGGTATTATCCATCACGTTTTTTTCATTATAATTAATGTCATCTGAGGGGTCCTTCTTTGAGAATGTGTGACTACCCTGTTCTTTCTACAATTATGAGTCATCATTCTTCTGTCAAGAAGGCTTTCCCTCCCTCTATTCCACATCCATCTTTTAAAAATATCACTGTGGACTCATGGATTTTTTTTCCTTCAGTGTGCTATAATCCATTAGTGTCATTCTTTTTGATCTTCAAATTGTCCCATATTTGGACAGCGGGAGCCTGCAGGAGTTGGCTCATGTGGCCTTTTGACATGTTCCAATCAGTTTTATAACACTTCATTACTTATATAAATAAACATGAAAGAATAAAAATAAGTGAATTAAAATCCCAAGTATGAAAGCTGGAAAAAGGAGATCAAAGTGAGTGAAGATAACCCAGAAATTGAGGTAGAAAACAGAAAAATGTAGAACTAGTAAATAAATCAAAACGCTGTTTTAAAAAAAATAAGTAAAATAGACGGACCACTAGCTAACTTAAATGAAAAAGCGGAGAGGGGAAAGGCGAGCACAAACATACAAAATAAGAAACAACAAGGGAGGGGCCGGCCTGGTGGCGCAGCGGTTAAGTTTGCACATTCTGCTTCGGTGGCCCGGGGTTCACCAGTTCAGATCCCAGGTGCGGACATGGCACTGATTGGCAAGCCATGCTGTGGTAGGCGTCCCACATATAAAGTAGAGGAAGATGGGCATGGATGTTAGCTCAGGGCCAGTCTTCCTCAGCAAAAAGAGGAGGATTGGCAGCAGATGTCATGTCAAGGCTAATCTTCAAAAAAAAGAAATGACAAGGGAAAAACAACCGCTGAAACAGGAAACTAAAAAATCATGAGCCTGCTTGGCACAACTTTTGAGAAAGGAATTTGAAAACCTAGGTAAACTGGATAATCTAGGTAAACAGAGCTTTCCAAAACTGACTTCCACAGAAGACACAGAGAAAGCTACCAAAGAATTACTATAGAAAAAAGCAAAAGGACCATACAATTTCATATGGTAATTCTACCAAATCTCCAAAGATCAATACTACATAAATTGTTCCAGACCACAGAAAAAGGAAAACATGAAATTTTTTTGTTTTTAAGATCGGTACCTGAGCTAACAACTGTGGCCAATCTTTTGTTTTTTCTGCTTTTTATCTCCCCAAATCCCCCGTGGTACATAGTTGTATATCTTAGTTGCAGGTCCTTCTAGTTGTGGCATATGGGACGCTGCCTCAATGTGGCCTGACAAGCGGTGCCATGTCCGCACCCAGGATCTGAACCCTGGGCCACCACAGTGAAGCGCATGAACTTAACCACTCGGCCACGGGGCTGGCCCCGAAAATATTTTTTATAAAGCAATTATAATCTTGATACGTAAACCTGACAAAGACTGCCCGTGCATGCACTCGTGTGGGTGTGCACACACACCATGTGTCTGGTATTCCTCTGCCTATCTCTTTATTTTCCAACTTTGAATCACTTTGTTTCAGCTGTATTTTTTGTATCTAGTATAAAATCAGGCATTACTTTGTGAGCCAATTTGAACTTCGTTTTCTTTTAATGGAAGAGCTGCTTATTGCTATGACTGATATGTTTGATCTCAATTCCATCATATTATATTTTTATTGTTTTATTATATTTGCTGTACTTCATATGTCTTCTATTTTGTTGTAAAAAAATTCCTTTGGTATTCATGAAGTTCCATATTTTTGTTCTAGTGATGACCTTTACTAATACTTTCCGTCTTTGATCTCATTTATTCCGTTCCCAAGCTTCTACCATTTGGTTTGTGAGCTTATTACGTCCTTTGACTTCCACCTATTTCCTCTGCAACAATTTATTCTACTTTCCCCTTTTCTTCTCCTTTCTCCTCCCATTACTTTCAGTTGTATCGTATTTTAGTTGTTTGTCAAAATACAACATATGTTCTTCCACCCTTGTCATTACCTTTGTTTTAGTCAGATTCTCAATTAAACATTCACTCACCATCAGTCCTTTTGCCAAAATGTCCCCAGTCCTTAGATGGATGCAGCTTATCTTCAGGTAGATGCCTCAGGAAAGGCTTGTACGTATGATATTCTCTGATTTCCTGCATATTTAAGATTTCTTTTATAGCCTTGATACCTAAAGGATAACTTGGCTGACTATGAAATCTCGTCTCACATGCACCTGAGTGTCCTGAAAATACTATTGCCATTGTTCTCTTTTTGTATGTTGTTGTTAGGAAGTCTGATGTCAACCTGAGTGTTGTTTTTTCTTTGGAAATGACAGATTTGGGGGGAGGAGAGATGAGGAGAGGGCTGGTGCCCTGAGAATTTTCCTTGTTCTATGAAGTCCAAAAAGTTTACTGGGATATGTTAGAGTTGACCATTTTGGGTCAATTTTTACAGATACACAGTGGCTTCTTTCAATATTATATTAAAGTCTTTTATTTCTAGGAGATTTTCTTGTATTAGAGTTTTAAATAGTTTAATTCTCTTCCACTATGTTGTTTTTCTTCATTGGGAGTCTCCAAATATAATTGTGTTAGGCCTTCTTTGCCTAATTTCCATCTTACTTTCTCTCTGATTCCTTTTACTGTTTTCTATATTTAGTTTTCATTCTCTTAGCTGTTTCATGCCTTTCTTCAATGCCAAATATATCTCAGTTGACTCTATTCTCCTTTGGCCAACTTGTAATTCAGTCTTCATTTCTAAGATAATTGTGTCTTTTTAAAATTTCTTTCCTCAGTTTACCAAACTTTCATTTCACAATCTCCAGCTTTTTGTCCATGTTGGTTCTAAGTTTTTGAATTTCTGATTCAAGCTGTTTTGTCTTATCTGCAGTTGTTTGTTAAAGCACATTTAATTCACATTGGTGGACTGTGTAACAGTTTTCTTCTGCTTCACGACTGTTTTTTGGTGGAGAATTTTCATTTCCTGAAATGTTTTGATTTTCATTTTCTATTTTCTTCTCATAGTAGTGTTGTGTGAGTGTTGTCTGCCACTTTCTGTTTACTTTGTAGTGCCTTATTTTTCTGAATCAGCGATAACACAGGCAGGTGTGAGAGTTTTGGGATGCTTACTAGATTTCTTAGTTCAAGAGCGCCCTCTTCTGTTAGTATAGTGAAATGATGGGGGTGTATCTTCTGATTTTGTGATTCTCTATTCCACTTCTCATTTATTTTCCCTTTACTACCAGGTCTCCAAACAACACCTTCTCCTTCTAATTCAACCCCATTTCCCCTAGAAGCAATGCTTTTCCAAGGCTATCACCTACAATCCTATATATTTCAATCCTTTTTTTTGATTCTCCAAGTAACCGTTACTGGTTCTAACCTGCCAGGTCTCAGACCTCTTAGCATATCTCCAATCAGGGTAGGTCTTCACTTTCTAGGGAGTGATTTTATCTGTGTTCTGTCACTTCTAGCCTCCTGCTCCCTCTCCTCTTTTCACAGTCTCCCTGGGATGCTGACTCTGCTGGATTTAGGTGCCATGTAATCTGAAGTCTGTAGTATTTTCTACTAGATGCAGTAGTCGTGGATTGCATATGGGTGGTTTTATCTGCACTCCTATTTTATCTGTACAGGTTTTTGTTTTTTTCTCGATGAATGTGTGGAGAAATTTAGATTTAGGCAGTTACTCTCATTCTACAGGAACCCAGAATTCCTCAGATATTCTGACATTAGATAGACCTTCTAGGGAAAAAAAGCAAACCTAAGAATGTCTCTGGCATTATCTCATTTACTTTCAGGATTCAAAGGATAAGAGACAGACATAAGGTGGAAGAAAAAGTGCCAAAACTCTCGTCCTGAGTAAAATGGGATAGCTTACCTGAGTAAGGTTCCATTGCAGCTGCTGAGCTGGCTGAACCCCATACATAGTCTGGGGCATAGCTGCCATGCCTGCCATGTAGCCAGCCTGCTGAGTGGTCATCATCCCATTTGGTACACCCATCATTGATGCCTGCATGCCACCCATATAGCCTGCAGGCATGGCCATGGGGGCAACCATCCCAGAGGCTCCAGGCTGCGGTACCATGCCTACTGGTGGGGGCATCATGCTCCCCATTATGCTGTTCGGAGGTGTGACCCCAGGGAAGCTGGGGTAGGCTGTGGGATATGCCATCTGAGCAGGAGCCATGAACATTGCTGCCGAGAAAACACACATACAGTTCTGTTAGAGAGGAAACCACACAAAATCAGTCCAAACTCCCACTGGCTACTCCTTTCTAGCTAGAATTTCTCAGGACTACTCAACCTAGAATGCTCTTTTACACAGAAAAACTGTTAGATTTCCTCTAAGACTTGCAGTGGCTTATCAAGGGGCCGCTGGCCTAGCCACTTCCCTTTAGACTTTGCGGAGGTGTGAAACCAGACCCCAAGTATGGCTCTGAGTTCTAGCTATCTGCAGATATTTTGTGGCTTCACAAGAAATATCATGTTCAGGCTTGTCTGCAGTATGACATCCTGGCCCCCAAAGCAAGTGCCCCCATTTTAACAAATAATTCCTGCATGTAAGTCCTCGCATCTCTATCTGGCATATTGCCAGGACCCCCATGAACTCTACCTTGGGCAGGCATTTGAGGCGTCTGGGATCCATACAGCGAAAGGATGGAGTCTTTAGAAAGCTGTTTCTTGCCCGTTTCTTCTGATTTGCTCCCTGGCTCCGGAAACAGGTTCAGGTTTTCAGGAACAGAGCCAGCACTCCCTGCGGTTGGCATGGAACCCACAACCTTACGGCAAAGAGGGCAGAGGGCAAATTGGAATGGTCCTCATGGGATCTCTGCAAGGACCGCCCTCATCTCTCTGCGGCTTCTAACATTCGCAGTAAGGATTCACGGCTCAAGCGAATCGCGTCCTGACATTTTCACGATACAAATATCTGAAAACACCTGATAGTTAAGCTCTGGTACAATTCTTGGTCCTTTGGCAAAACAACGTGATTTGGCGAAAAACAAACAAAGAAATAAAAACAACCTACAAATGATGCAGCCAGAGAGAACTGAGTTTAGATCCCAGAGCAGCCATTTACTGGTTGCATAATGAGAGGCTAAGTCATATAACTTTTCTGAACTAATGTTTCACCTATTAAATATCCATTTTGCAGGGTTGTGGTGAATATTTTAAATTATAAATGAAACATACAAAATCACCTAGCACCGTGCCTGGTACATTGCAGGTATTCCACAGATGGTAGCCATTAAAAGTTTCAAGTCTTTCATAGCTACAAGTTCTCTGGCAATAACTCAGGCTGAAGAGCTGACCCGAAGTATCAGCCTTTATAATTTGTCACACCTTCAACAGAAGCCCACTCTTTTTGGGCAGGAAACAAAATGGAATGAATAGTAATCTTAGGCTGTATCAGAGATGACACAGTGTTCAGGGAAGAATCAAGAAAATCAAAGTCCAATTCTACCAAGGAAGCATGACTTGGGTCCATGATTAGGTTATCAAAATCACCCTTTTCAGAATGCTCTCTAATCCTCTAAAGGAACCCACAAGACTCACCTTTCTGGAAACCGAAGAAGAGGGGGACGGAACAGAGGCCAAAAGATCTAAATCCTTCTCTAGGGTATTGCTGGTCTTACTATTTGCAGCGGAGCAGGACACAGGAGCATCTGGAAAGAGAGATCACAGTTAAAATGGAGCGCTGCTCATTAAGCCCATGCCTTCCTCCTATTCTGGACATGAAGCAGACAGGGAAGGCCCACATGCTCCATCATGGACCTGGAAATCTTGACTTTTCTGGAACCATCTAGCTTGGATGGGGCATCTAAAAGGAGGCCTCACCCCACATTCCCAAGAGCACGCTGGAGAAGCCTGTAGCCCAGCCATCAGGCCCAGGACAGCAACAGCCCAGGCCTGGAGGCTGCATCAGCCCCACAGCAAGGGGGCTGGCTGGCTCCCTGCTGGCTATTTGAGGGGCAAAGCTGCGTAGGATTCATTTTCAGAGAGAAATGAAAGGTATAGAAATTAGAAGCCTAAGTAGCCAACAGCCTAAATCAGCGGAAATGGGCTGAAACAAAGGACAGCCAGCGGTACTGTGAAAGGTTCAGACTAGACTCTGTTTCTGACAGGGGCAGAATCACTAGCTCAGGGTTTCAAAGGTTTGGGGGAAAATGACCACAAGGTAATAGGCCATCTCAGAAACAGGTCTCACCTGAAAAATGAGAAGGACGGGGGCAGGGCTCACAGGCGCTGGCTTAGTAAACTTGCTAACGTTTAATGAGTGCAGGCACGAGGCTAAGAGTTTTAGAGGCATTATCTCCTTTCGTCCTTCCAACGACACCTCTGAAGTAGACTCTTATCACCCTCACTGCACAGATTAGGAAAGCAATGTTCAGAGAATGAGGAAGCTACCCCGGGTCACACAGATAGCAAGTGGCAGAGCTGGGACTCTGGCTCCAAAGGCCATGTTCTTAACCACAACATTTTACTGTCGCTCTGAAAAATCTCACCATAAACACTTCCTGAGAACAACTGCTCAGATGTAAAACAACAGGAAGAACAAGAGAGAACAATCTTAGTGACGAAGACACAAACTGAAGACTCTTGTCTCTGCCTATCCTCCCAGGGTCACAGAGAATTCATCAAAATTTGTAAGATTATGGGAGTGAAAAATTCTAACTCTTACCAAGGCCCAACAAATCCATGACAGGTGCTGTGGATTTCGGGGAGCTCTTCCGAGGTAGCTGTGGATCCTCTTTTTTCTGTGGCTAAGGTGAAAATATGTTATAGAAAGAAATAAGCAGGTGTTTTTGAAGGCTTTTCCCCCCTCTCCATTGTAAAGCCACAGGTATTCCAGTGGCATGGTTGCTGTTATTCAGAGACAAGACTCAGGAAGCGTCAGGTGAAAGAATCAAGTCAGGAGGCACGAGGGCATAAATCAAACCTAAAGTGAAAAACAAAGATATCATCTGTGCCTGTCTGGCTTTCTGAAGAGACAGATCTTTCTGAAACCGAGACAACCACAGATCGGGGGATCCCACAGAAGTAGCAGTTTTTGGTCCCAGGAAAAGCCAAGACTAAAGGTAGGTGTCTGATGGTACAAGAGCCGAGAGCCAACAAATCTCCCAGTGACTATAAAACCTTTAATACCAAAAGGGAGATCAGTAAAGACCACCTAATTCACTCTGCCAAATCACTGATGACTGCGATCTGTGGACGATTCAAAATGATGATAAAAGGCGCTTCCTTAAGCAAATAGCAAAAAGTCCCCTCTCCCAAGATTCCAAGCTCTGATATTAGACTATCTACTACTACAGCCACAGTGTGTCCTGTGGAAAAAGAAAGCTGTCTACTTCAGTATGATAGAGCAAGAATACAAAGAAGGGATTGTTTAAAATGGATTAGTATGGCCTGGCTTCTGGACTGTTCTTAACTGCAACAGGAAGATGAGGTACAGAAAGTCTAACGAGAGAAGGACAACGTAGCATCTGCTCAGAAGGTGTCACACAGCCCTGGCACTCTGGCATGGAGCGTGCCTCTTGCTCAGATGGGGCAGATGCAGGTCCCAAGCTCCCATGTGGCCCCCAAGAGAAGTGTTACAGAGCGGATTAGGCAGCAAGAAGGCGATGGGAAAGCAGCACAAACGGCAGCAGCTGATCTCATCTAAACATGGACCCTCCCTCCCCCTTGAGCCCCAGGTGCCGTGCTGCAGTACGCTATCAACCCCACACCCCCTCCCCTCCACACACACCAACACACTCGAGGCCATCCACACAGTGCAAATCCTGGCCCACTTACCATTTTAACTTTCTCAAAAACAACAGGTTCCATTTTTTTCTCTGGAGCTGGTTCATTCCCTCTTTTCCACTTGTCATCTTTTTCTTTCTATAATGATTTAATAAAACAAGACAAAAAACACAGGCCCCAGGGTGACTAACAGTTCGATAAATTATAATTCCACATGTCTAAAAAGGACACAAAAAGTCCCTATTGAATTTGATGCAGGAGTCTGATGAACTTGAGGGTTTCTTGGGGTGGGGCATGAGAGCTGGCCTCTTCCACATTAGCCTCAATGCCATAAGAGACATCTTTCAAATGTCTGAAGCACCTGCCCTCCTTGTTCTGGAAATGTGCGGTCTGGGCTATCTACAGAGGTTGACGTTTCCCCAGTTTGCTGCCTTTTTTTGACGCAACTTTAACTTGCTCATTCTTTGAGGGGTTCCCCCTCATCTTGCTACACCAGTCAATAAGTTCATGTTCATCTTACTCAGCAGATCCTTTGTGATTTTATAAATTCAATCATAAGTTCTTTCCATCTTCATCTCCTTTTTAAAAATCAAAAAATAAACTGTAATTTCAAGCTTAAAGATTAGGGGGAAATCAAGGAAATAAGGCAAAAAGGAGAAAAAGGATTAAAGTATCCCTTTTAGGGTATCTGAGTGAGTTGCCTGTATAAAACCAAAAAGCACATCAAAAATAAAATATTAGAAAGTCTCTCTCAGTTTTTGTTACTTTCAGAGGCAGTTTCATAAGACTTTCACTGATTATAATGTTATTGGTCACATTTTTGACATCAAATATCTAAATGCAAAACAGAACCCCAAAGTGAACTTAAGAACACAGGCATATAAAAGGAAGTATAGCATATATATGAAAAAATGGTCAGCCTTGCTAATGATCAAAAAGCGAAATTTAAAGTGCATTTTAGGAGGAGAAAGAGCTTAATAATAATACCTAATGTTGGTAGGGATGAGGTAAAACCAGCACTCTTATACGCTGAGAAGACAGCGTAAAACAGTACACCTTCTAGAAAGCATATTGGCAAAAGTATGAAGAGACAAATACTGAAACCTTTTGACCTAGATAATATCTTATCTCGTAATATATTTTAAGAAAGTAATCCAAAATATGTAAAGGGTTATATCCACCAAGAAGCTCATCCCACAATTCTTTATGCTGAACAAAAACTTAAACAACCACCTTTATGCCACAGAAAGAGAATGACAAAATAAACTGTGGTCTAGCTACTCACTGAGAGACGCAACAATTGAAGATTATGGAAACTACATAAGGAACATAAATAACATAAAATACATCCTATGTTAAGTTGAATGAAAGCAGGAGACATTCTTTCTTTCTTTCTTTCTTTGGTGAGGAAGATTGTCCCTGAGCTAACATCTGTGCCAACCTTCCTGTATTTTGTATGTGGGACACCGTCACAGCATGGTCTGATGAGTGGTGTGTAGGTCCGCACCTGGGATCCAAACCCACAAACACCGGGCTGCTGAAGCAGAGTGTGCGAACTTAACCACTATACCACTGGGCTGGCCCCCAGGAGACATTCTGAATAACTGTATTATAATTATGCCTCCAGAAAGTAACTACGTAGAAAAAAAGAGGGAACACACCAAGATGATAATCACTCGTAAAGATGGTAAGAGTAGGCATGGATTCTCCACTTTAATTTTCATATTATCTCTAAAATGATATTATAATCACAAAGAACACATGCAGCTATGTCTGCTTCATACACAGTGTAACATTTTAATGCAGAATACTTTATTTCTTGAAGTGAAAAGCGTTTTATCTGTCCATTAAAAAAGAATACTCTTTAATTAACAAAGTCAGTTTCTTTTCAATTTGATATTAAATGTCTTCACTTAGCAAATATTAGTCCTTGGCATATAAGTCTTCACAAGAATATTAAAAACAATCTAAATACATCAAATAAATATTTTTGAAATAGCTTTTTGGTAAACAGGAGGTACTTCCTTCCTAAGTGAAAACATTTCCTTCCTCAGTGAGTGAAACAGGCTGTTTTCATGGGTACGGTACACCAGTGACACAATTATGAATGAACACTGTCTTCACGTGGCAACTCTTCCCTCCTCCCTCACTCTCTGGATCGCCTCGGATACCCTTTTCTGACCTCATCTGATTTCATACCTTCTGATACAAGGAACAGAGCTAAGCAGACAGGCCACAGCTTTCTACAAATAAAAGGAAATGTGTGTGATTTGGTTTCAAATGCTTTTTGATGATGCCATCCAAGCTGTAGCTGTACACTGGGTTAATTCTTTCTTGGGCCAGTTAGGATAACTTCCAGGTCCCTTTTCTGGATGAGGTAAGAGTCCTTCAGACTAAGTTGAGAAGAAATTTTCTTTACTAACTACATGTATTACCTTGTACTTGCTTGCTTTGAAATTTACCTACCAGTTAATGCCCCTTTTCACAACACCTCAAAAGATCAACCTGGAGCTGATTCCAATAAGCTTGATTTTAAAATACCTGGAAGGGCTTAGAGCCCATGTAAACTTAGTGATTTCACTGGCTAGTATATCCTCCATTAAAATAAACAGATAGATAGATAGATAGATAGATAGACAGACAGACAGATAGATAGACAGACAGAACCTGTGCTGGAACTGGAGAATTCCATACTCTCTATACTTCGGCTTGAGAAATAGTCCATCATTCGTAAGAGAATTTCCTGTAGAATCTTATCAAAGACTTTTGAAGTTCTAAATAGTCATATTTATTGGTTCTCCTTTAGTTATCATTAGTCAGGCGTGCTTTCTTCTTCCAGAAACCATGTTGTATTTCCTGCTGTATGTTATACTTGTCCTAGTTATCATACACTGTATTTCAGATTCTAACCACACGCCCAGGTTGGAAAGTGTACTTGGCAACTGGTAGTCTCCTTCTAAAACCCTTCTCAGGAACAAGGGGCCCATTGGCAATCAGTCCATCAACTCACTAGAAATATACACTGGTCAAAATGAAGGAAAGTCTGGTGATTTAATTACACCTAATTTTGTTGACTTCACTTACAGAAAAAAATGTGTACACACACATATGTATACATACATACATATATACACATACATTTTATTCTATTTGATCTAGTATGCTCATCATGTCTATTTGAAGAACTAATTTGGAACTGGGGATCACTAACATCTAAATATAGATCAAGGCAAAGAAGTCACTGATGGTTTGCCCTGTCCATCCCTGAGGCAAAAGTTTGATCCATGGTATCTCATGGTCTTGAGTCAATAACTGGCTTTTTTTTTTTTTTAACAGTTTTTTTTTTCCTTTTTCTCCCCAAAGCCCCAGGTACATAGTTGTATATTCTTCGTTGTGGGTCCTTCTAGTTGTGGCATGTGGGACGCTGCCTCAGCGTGGTTTGATGAGCAGTGCCATGTCCGCACCCAGGGTTCGAACCAACGAAACACTGGGCCGCCTGCAGCAGAGTGCAGGAACTTAACCACTCGGCCACGGGGCCAGCCCCAAATAACTGGCTTTTTTTCTACTTTTGTATTTTTTTTTGGATAGCTTTGGAGTATTTTAGTAGCTGTTCTTCAAATTCTTCCCTAGCATGATTAATAAGCACACAAAACTTGAAAGATTTACAACCAACCCTAAAGGCATTGATGTCCAGACTTCGGTCCATGTATTTCTTCTTCTCATATTTATCTCGAATAAATCCCTCAACAGCTCTGCAAAAAGCTTCTTAAGGATAAATCAAACAAATCTTTCCCACAATGTGACTATAAAAGGTGAATTTATATCCCATGGAAAATTGTTCTCCTCTCTCCCTCCTGCCTGGTTTCCATACGGCTCCTGTCTCTTCACATGTACTTTCTCTGACCAAGACCTTAAAATGCCTCCTTCACGGGTATGGCAGGGAATCACCATTTCCTATAATTTTCGTTCAGAGTAATGATAGCAGCAAATGAGATTAATCTTCATATTGACATCAGGGGAGCTTGGCTGTTATAGAATACAGGTAAAGCAGTCAGTTACCTATTTCAAAGCTCTTAGGTCACAGGCCTTAAACAAAGGCACCTGAGTGCCCCTTAAAAATATAAGCTCTTGTGCCCACTGCCAGATTCTGATCAGTGGGTCTTCTGCAGGGTCTCAAATCTGCATTTTAGCAGGATCCACCTGCACCCACTAAAAAGCAAACTAACAAGATCGTCTACAAACCACATTTTGAGAAACACCGCCTTTAGGGGGTTTGGTTTTGTGAGCTGGGTACTATCCCCTGTTGAGGGGATGGCAGAAGAAAGTTATGGATTAACTAGTCAACAACAGTTAATTCCTTCACATAGGACATAAGAAGGCCTTAAAAATGAATGGTAGTTTTGCTGATTCAACATAGCACAGAAAACTATTCTTTTCATCAAAGACCCAAAAACTACTGGAGATGTCTCTTTACGGAAGAATTCACAGTGAACCACTGCAGTCTTAATTCCTGAATGAGTCTTCCCCATGAGACCCACCATTCTGACATTAGAAAGTATATAGGCGTTCTATGTCTCGGTTGCAGGAGAGAGCAAAAGCAAGACTTGGACTAATCCATATAGAGATGGCCCAGTCAGATCATGGGTCTTGACTCCTGTGTGACTCTCTCAAAACACCAAAATACCACTCAGCCTTATAAGTTGCTCCAGAAAAGATACGGGTCTATTTGAGGCCGCCGAAAGGTCTCAGGAAGGTAGGCTTCATAAAGTCGGTTTGCCTTTCCATTCCCCATCTCTTGCATGCACTGTAACCAGAGACACGGAAACACAGAATGTCACATTAGGAAGGAAGTGAAAAATGTCTCCCCCAATTGCAGCATTTTACAATTGAAAAACCAACCTCGAGACTGGCAGAACCAAGACTGAAACCTGGGTATTCTGATTACTGATCCACGAGTCCCTCTACTCTGCTCCCAAACCTTTGGCCCCCCACAGGTGTCTTTCCCACCTCCCACCCCAGTACCATTTACTGAGAGGTTTGTCTCACTAGATACAATTAATTCAGTAATAATTCAAGATCCCATTTGAAAGTCCAAAACACATAGCTACTAATAAAAATGTCTACTTGGCAGGCAATAATCAGGCAATAATTACAATTTTGAGCTTATACTATTAATTAACCTATTCAGCTCTATTACCAATAAATGTGTTTCCCATTAGGCTTTTAAAATAAACTCCTTAACACTTGTGAGGGACAAATCCAGAAATCTTTTCAAATCTTCAAATGCCCAAGTATCTCCATGTATGCAATTTCCTTCATAAGAGACAGTAAAGTATAACTGAAAAATATAACTAACCTTTCAGACTTTTAGTGAATCTATAAAAACAGTTTAACCTCTAAGGTCATTTTCTGGTTAAGAATAACCTCTTATTTCCATTACCAACTTTACCAACTGGTTTTCTTTGCAGCTTCTCTTCCCTCACCCTCCCCAATTTTTTAAAAAATTACTTTTTAAAAGTTTCAATGCAGGAAGAGAAGGGAGAACAAGGAAGCCACATCAAGGTGCAGATCTTAGGCCAGCTGGACTCACTAACTTAAGTCTCTCACTCCAGCCCACCAACCCAACAGCAAGCAAGATTCATATATGCATTTTAGCAGTAAAATATTATTATAAGTTTATAAGTTGGAGGATTTTTTTTTTTTTTAGTGAATATCTAAAACTACGAATGTTAGATCTGCAAATGCCAAGGCTCGTAGAAAATGATCCAAAGATCCCCTTTACACCTTCACGGACCCATGGGGTCCTGGACCACAGACCATTTGTGTTTTGAAGGAGGTAAATTATAGGTAGAATAACTTGTATCTTAAATAGAAAGACTAAAAATTTCTCTGTTAAAGTATGAGGATGTGACATGAGTGTTTAACAACTAAACCTTTCTTTATCATCACCTTTGTGCCCACTTTGAGCGAAATTCCTCTGGAACTGCTTCTACACGGAAGCACGAGAGCGGCCGACTCGCGCCCGGGCTGTGTCCGTACCTGAATCTGTTCCTGAGTCCACTGGTCGAGGTTCACGGACTTTACCCTGGATATGTGCACCCCCAGATTCCTGTGGATTCCAGCACATCGAATACAGATGAACACACCGATGTTCCAGGAGGCCCATCGCGGCCCTGTGAAGGTCAGGAACACGGCAATAAAGTACACATTAAAACAAGAGTCAAAGCCTAAGCTGGACCATTTAGATCCTCAGCCGTTTCTGCTAGAACATAAGTGAGAGAACCGTTACCACAATGACCTTTATTGGTTTTGTTCATTCCCCCATGGACCGGCTTTTTTTCAGTTTAGTTCTATTTTTTTTAGTTGTACAATACTGTGGTTTTAGTATCTTCACACAGTTGTGTAACCATCACCACTATCTAATTCCAGATCATTTTCATCACCCCTAAAAGAAATCTCAAACCTGTGAGCAGGCACTCCTCCGTTCCTCCCAACTCCTCCCCCTCAGCCCCTGGCAACCACAAATCTTCTTTCTGTCTCCATAGATTTGCCAATTCTGGACATTTCACATAAATGGAATTATACAATATGCGAGCATTTGTGTACGGAGCAGCTTTTTACAGTGACTGATAACATGAGTGTTCAAATGCAGACATTGTCATAACAATAAGTAATAATACTGTAATTAAATAAAGAAAAATCCCAGGAGAACAGTGCAAAGCCATGTCACATTCTGTTCAGCATCTTATATGAACAGCCCCCCAACTCAAGAAACTTTTCAATGGTGGTAGGGCCTGGATTCAGTTTTCCTAAGAGGAAAAAAGATACAGACATGTCATGCCAGCCCAAGGCTCACCTGAAATTTAAAGCTTTGTTTATCCTCCCCTCCCTACCAGGCCTATAAAATATGCATCCAGATTAACTTAGGATCCTTTACCCTTGGGCTAGTGTCCCTACTTTACCCAACTATAGAATTATCTAGATTCAAGACTGTCAAGTAATAAGGATGCTTATTACAATAAAAAAGGAAATCTCAGATTTTATTTTTTTTTGGTGAGGAAGATTGGCTCTGAGCTAACATTCATTACCAATCTTCCTCTTTTTGCTTGAGGAAGATTGTCCCTGAGCTAACATCTGTGCCAATCTTCCTCTATTTTGTATGTGGGATGCAGCCACAGCATGGCTTGATGAGCAGTGTGTAGGTCCGCGCCCGGGATCCAAACTGGCAAATGCCAAAGGAGAGTGTGCGAACTTAACCACTATATCACTGGGCCGTCCCCTCAGATGTGTATTTTAATAAAAAACTGTTACACAATTTCCCATCCCCTGCTGACTTCGATCACACTAATAATCACTCTGGAAAATTATCAAACTCCTCTTCATAATTTTTATACAGGAAAAAGGCAACTTACTTTTTATACAACACCTTTCAAAGACTTACTGAAAAAGCACTGATATTTCCTTCTCCATCATTCCACTAGGCAGAAATTTACCACATAAAATAAGCATGACATCACAGTTAGAGGTTGCAATAAAGAGGTGAAAAGTCACAAATTGATTTTCTACAGAGATAAACAGGACCTGCGTTTCTAACAGCAAAAGGCACAAGACTTGAGTTCTGCCAGACACAGACGATTATTTGGTCGGTCTGCAGGTTTGGCGGCAGTTTTAATGAAGGAATGCTAGAATCAGATGGCAGAAAATTATTCTTACAAGTTTGAATCCATGATTGTTATAAATAAGAATGTAATTTTTTGACAAAGGTATCACTCAGATCCTAGGGCGAATTACAAATACAGAGGGTCAAATCCTCCTTATAACCACCAGGTGGTGTTCTCTGCCTGAAATTTTATCCCAACACCCTCTTATTGCTTTCATCTTGATCTAAAAAGACCTTCGGTCCCTTCAAATCCCTGGATAGATTTGCACAGTAGGCCTGCCATATAGCTAATAAACACATGATGATTCACACATTTCCTTCGGGTGGTGGGGAGCTACATAAACACAAAATGAAAAACCTAAACACACGTGAACAAAGTTTCTTAGGGTGCCGTATGTCTGTTTGGGGTTACAATTTTCATAAAGGAACTCAGATAAGATCTAAGTTATACAGGATTAAAAACGAGACCAAAAGTTAATATTTCATGTTTCTTTACCATTTTCCCTTTGCTCTAGATCCCAGAGTCTAGAACTCATGATAAGATAGTTAAAATATATTTGTTTGCTAACAAGACCAGAAGCCAAAAACACTAATTAAAAGTTAGCCGTGGAATGTTACACTCTTTGCTTCCTGGCCCTAAATCTAGAGAAGGATATTCCCAATCATCTAGGCCACTGTCACAACTATGGAATTTCTCCAGATTCCATTCCAGAGTATTTAAAGTCTCTTTGCCTCTGAGGGATACAAAGACTAAGATCTGATTTTTCTAAAGCCACTAAACAAGGCTTCAGTACAGAACACAGGCCATGATATTTTCATGAGAAGTCGGAGGAGAGCCGCCACTGCGGTCCTCCCACACCCTTCCCACCACCTTTTCCCAGGGGAAGAGTGGCAGTTCTATCTCAGACACTCCGCCTCCTTTTAGTTTTGAGCCGCCAGATTTGTTAGTCAGTAACTGCATGCTCCATAAAAGATTCTGAAATTGGAGAAGAGGAAAACACAAGAGACAAAAGCTACTTAGATGGCTGAACACGTGGGAAAATGGTGTAGTTATTAAAAGTACAGTCTTTGCAGCCAGAAAAGATTTAGGTTTGGATGTCAGCTCCATCAATGATTAGCTGTGTGGCCTTCAGAGAGATACGTAAACTTCCTAAGCCTCAGTTTGCTCATCTATAAAATGGGGACAATAATATCCACCTCACAGTGCTTAGAACACAGAGGGATAATCATAAAAGAGAGCTACCTATAAGAACATGGTATAGAATGAGACTTCCAGAACCCATTTCCCATTCATCTCCTTCACTGATTAGGCCTGTTAACTCAATCATATGTATATACCAACACGCTGTGCAACAGCGCAGAATGCTTCTTTTTAGACAGGAATGTGAGTTCTAGTCCTAAAATGTCAGAAGCAAAACTGACTAACTGAATATCAGAAAGAAGAAATTTACCCTGAATCCAATTTCAGTCTTCTAGAAAACATGAAATTTTAAGCAGCTTCCTTTATCTCCCTCAAAATACTCTTTGAAAATGCACTACCTGGACCCCACGTGTTCCCCTTCTCTGCTATACACCCCCGCCCTGCCCTTGTGCCCACACATGCCTCCACCACCCACACAAGGGAAGGCTCAGAGCTGCCAGCCTGCCATGCTTAGATCCCGGAGTATCTGGTGTTTCTGCCACAGGGCCAGCCTACTTAAATTTGGTACGCTTGCAAAGTAAACCAATTGTTCAATACACATTGGTCATGGCAACCAAGGAGAAAATATAAAACATACCATTTTGAAGTTGCAAATGGAAGAGACTCTGAGAGACAATATTCCGAACAATTCTGAAAGCAAGGAGGATAGACAAGGGATATAAACTGGTAGTGATCAGCATGACAGAAGAACAAGGTCATGGCTAAGTGAACATATTCAACAGGAGCCTCAGAGCAGGCTCAGGAAGCATTCAGCAATATTAAAATTAACATATAATAAGTAATTATTATGTTAATTAATATACTCTCTGTAATGCACTCTGCAATAAGGAATCAGTGGAAATGAAGGCAGTATACGGATTTGGTTGATCTATCAAGAAATCGACTGTAGGAAGTACTAGCCAGCCCACTGGCAGGGAAATCTGGGTTTACACTGACTAGTTGCGTGTGTTTTGACACGTCTTTCTAGGGCTCAAGTCTCCATTTGTAAAAGAGGAAGCATATAAGTAATATCCAGTTTACATCCAACTTCTGCACAGCTCCTACCAATGGAGTAACTACCGCTGCCCTGCGGCACGCTTCCTTGCTGCGCAAACTGCCCCCAGCAGCAGAGCTGCCAGGCTTCAAAGGGTTATGGGTTTGAGAACGCAGCAGAGAAAAGGAGAACTAGACTTACAGATAGCTTGAAGCTACTGTTAGAATAATGACAGCTTGTTGACCTCTAAGTTCCAACAAATAAAGGTTGAGAAAAAAAAAAAACACTGATAAATTAATGGCTGTCCATTGAAAAGCTCTTTGACAGGAAGGGTCAAGGAAGGGAGAGAAAATCTCTTCCATCTTACACTGAGGCCCTGTGGAATCTATCTTGGAAACTTCCAGAATTTATCCATCCATCTCTACCTAGACCTCATCTCTCACCCATAAGCATTCATTCTTTTAGCATTATTTATTGAGTACCTACTATGTGCCAAGCACTCTGCCTGCTAGGTACTAGGGATACAAAGGCAGAGACAACAAAGATGAGAGCCCCCGGTCAAAGGGCTCATGGACTAACAACGAATTGGTCTCCAGACTCCTAGCAGAATAATCTTTCTAAAACACAGAGCTGTACAGATCAGGCCCCTGAATATATATACCTTTCATGTAGTCTCATATATAGAGGTGAAAATGTAGATTGGTGCTAATTTTCTGAATGGCATATGCCAAACAAGATATTCCTAATCTTCTGCCACAAAACCTGCTCTTCCTCCATTCTTCTCCATCTTAGTCAATTACACCTCCACCCATTCAACTGCATCAGTCAAAAATTTATGCATCATCTTTGATATCTCTCTCCTTAAATCCCCATATTTATACCATCACCAAGACCAAAATAGCTTTCAAATCAGTCTCTCTCCTCTCCATCTGCAACGCTATTTCTCTAATCCAAAGTCACCAGATCTCTTAGACTATAATGGCTCTCCACTTTTACTTTTATATTCCCTTCTCTTCCATCCCAGAACCAAAACCATTGCCCACAAAAGAGCCAGCCTGAGCTCTTAAAGAAGCAAAAGCCACCTTGTCACTAGACTGCCTAAAACCCTTCTATGGAAGGCTTCCTTCTAGCACTGTTCAGTCAGAGAGCAAAACCCTAAGACGGTCTCCAAGGTCTTCTATCATCTGGCCCGTGCCTACTTCCCCAGCCTCTCACCTCCTATGGTACCAGCCTTCTTTCATTTCCTCAAGGCACCAACATCTTCCTTCCTTAGGGCTTCTGGCCTTTGTACACGCTGCTCCCACTGCCAAAAAAGCTCTTTGCCCAACCACCATCCACC